TTGTTGATTGTTTAGAACATTGAATTTCATAAGGAAGGAAGGAGTGTTATGTAGTTTGGGCTACCTGTGGTGGTCACGTGATTGCGGTGTGTGACCACATGGCGGGGAGCAACGTATGTAAAACGTTTTAGTTATAATAAAATAAGTTGGATAACACCACGATTACCGTTGAACCCTTAAACATAACACGGCCTGACTTTGATAAGTCCAGAGAATGTTTTAAGGCTCGATTCGTGAGTGAGTTGAGCGCTGACTTTGAACAGCCCAGAGGTTGTTTCACGGTATTCATAAAAATGACGATTACATGATTGATGATGTCAGAGGAGAGAGAAAACAACATAAAGTTCTGTGATTAATATTTGCGTGGTTTAATTTCGCTCACAAGCATTAATTAAGGAAGTCAAAAGCACAAATGAATCAATAGCAATGCTTTGAGATCTGCTCTGTTCAAAAGTCCCCCGGCAATAATCTTTTTACTTCCTTCGTATTTCGATAGGGCTGAATACTATACTTCCGGATCTGTTTCTCCGGCCTGACCCTGGCACTACTCGATTTCCCTCTCATCTATGTAGCCTGATCAGCTTCGAATACTCTTAAATAGGGCACTGATGTAGAGTGGGTTATAAAGTGCGCACCGTGGACTTTCAATGATAGCAGTTGAGAACTTAGTGAAGGAACTACCGACGTTAAATATTGGTACTTTATTTTTTGTCCGAGTCAGGGTTAACTCTCTTAACCTGTTAGTCTTAGAGGAGAAAGGAAAACCCGCGAATCCTGGGAACCGAAAAACCTGGCTATAGTACAGCAGCCAGACTTTTTTTGTTCCGTATCCGATAGAGAATTAATGTGTTTATTCACTTTTTGCATTTCTCAATCCAAACAAAGAAGTATGCATGCATGTCTCTTGACTTTTTGTCAAAATGTTTCCCATTTTAGACAGGTACAGGCCTTTGAGTGTTATTACCTTTTTCATGCATGCTTAATATATATATAAATATATACATAGTTATATTGATATGAGTTCATTTAAAGTGAAGAGGTCTATTTCGCTATTTACTATAAAATAGAGTGCATACGATATAGAGTGAAGTCAATAAACCCTTGCAATAGATATTAGACTAATACACTTTAGTAGACCCTAATTCCATTGTTTTCTTTTTTGTCTATTTGACTATTACACGTTGACTACTAATTTTCATTTAGTTCACGGGTCAAATGCCTTCACTATCCTTCAAAACGTTAACTAACAAAATTGTACAAATTAGTGCAAAGTTTCGTAGGTCTACTGTCTACTGAGGTCTACTGAACTCCACTACTAATTTGAGCACTGAGTTTGTGCAATTTCTTACAAATGGTTTCACGGAAACTCAGTATGGTATAGAATACGTTTTTTTAATTTCCTGAAAATGGTGCTCGTAATTAAACGACTTTCCGGGTCACAATACCAGAACAATACCCAGGAAATCTAAATCATGTCATTCTTCTTGAAATTGATTTCTTTCTTTACTAGTATTTATAGTATTAATGCCAGTACGATCCAAACAAAGAATCTCATTCCCTAGAATCGAAAAACTGATAACAAGTCATATTCATATTTGAAGCCATGTTTAAACCCGCACGCAACACAAAAATTTAGTAATCTAATGGCTTATTGATTGGAGTCTAGCTATGTGCGCGAACTAAAAAATTCGATAAAACATTGGCAAAAAAAGGTCGAGCGGTTTTTCTTAGTAATTTGTTTATGGAGTTAAAATAAGGTCAAGGCCAGGATGGTAAAAGACTTGATGATCAACAAATACCTTGCCATCGTATATTTAATAACAGTTAGTGGGTATACTAAGATAACAAACTGACTATTATTGTCGGCTAATTGCTTTGAAAACGATTCTAAAGTTGAAAGGAATTCACTAAAACTACTAGATTTATACATCATTGGGGTTCACTCGTGTACCCAAAAACCTACCCTACCCTACCCCCAAGGGAAGAAACTATGGTTTGGTGGGGACGTAAAAAACACTCTCCTTAACCTCACTGGTATAGGATTTGTACTACTGAAAAGCAACTGAATATAAGACACTTAGATTAGAGGAAGGTCCACAAAAATTACTATCGCATCACAGGGAATATATGTTGTACGTTCTATAGCATTGAAATGTCAAGACTGTTGGGGCTACTAACCCTACCCCTCACAGGAAAGATTTCTCCTGCCATCTAGCACTGAACCAGTTGACAGTAGAATAACTATGCTCTAAACAAATTTTAAACATAAAAGATAAATAAAATCTCCGGACAGTACCCCTGATAAGTAAGATTTGTCACACTATCTTATTAAGCAACGAATTAGTGTGGTTCTAGATTTTGCATAGATTTTGAAGAGAATTTGCAAAATTCGGTCCGGTAGCACGTTCACACGGAATCCAAAAGGGCCACGTGGTTTAGGTACACTTTGTTTTTATTATGCTATATATAAATAAGATACCATGTTGATCTTCTATACAACTAAAAGCTTTTTGACCTGATTCGGGTTTCATTGGTTTTGCCAAACCCCTCATAAAAAATGGAGCAATTACGAGCTAGTTTAAAATCTGCTCAAACGTGCAAACCGGCGTTTTTCCATTTTTCTTTTCGTGTTAGTACCGAAACCTCTGTTTTTTTTAAAACAAATTATTTCAAAGCAATAACAACAAATTTGATTTAAAAAATTAAATGGAGCGACTGTTAGATACTTACTGTTTCTTAACGCACTGTCCTTGATGCAGGACCAACACTATGCAGCATGTTAGTACGCATTGAATCAACAACTTCATGATTGCCTTCAAGTTTCTTCAACTCTCCCTCCGTCAACGTAGTAGTACAAGTCTTCACCGTCACTTTCTCGGGATGCAAGCTATCCAAAGCGATTATTCTAGTCCTGTAACAAGAAAAACAAACCGATGTCTTAGGAACGTACGAACGTGATGGTCGGTTGGTCTCTCCTTGCGTTATAGGAATTTCATTTAGATCGATCTTTTAACAGTTTCATCACGGGCTTGGTTTTGCAAGCTCTTCCCTTCACAAATAGATCAATGATGAAAAGTTGGGTCAAAGGCTAGCGCGGTTTCTCTGCAGTTGAAATACCTTTAATTAAAGTGGTTAATTATAAGGTTTAGCGAATCGTATCGACCATTTTTCTCTGACCTCGAGTGACTCATGCACTCGCGGACAGTTTTAATCGTCCTGTCAAATGAGTATGTTTGAATCTTGCCGTTCGTTTCGGCTTCTTAAAAGAAATGATTGGCCGGGTCGTACGGAAGCCTGTCTCTGAGAAGGCGTTGATTCCTTAACTAGAAAACGTCTTAGCTTTCAATACATTACTTCTACAATACGGTGGCTATCTTGCCAGGGTGAAAAAGCAAAACAAAGATGACGGACAATGTATAAAGTTTCATGTGTTTGTCTTTTATTTTAAGGGTAAAGGTAAACGATGTGCCGTCTTAATTTATCTTTTGCTGTATTATCTTGTGGCGAGCTGTTAATATCAATCGACTTCACCACTGTAACAAAGCTTTATTTGCCCCTGGACGCCCCATAATGCCTTGCCATCCAAGATGGCCGCCGTATCGTCGAAGCAGTACTCAGATACTAAATACAGATGAAATATAGCTCAAAACGAAAAAATAATCCATTCATTTTCGTATTAAAATGGGCCTTCAACCAATAAGGTACTGCATTGAAGGCGTAAGTGAGTGAGCTCCAGCATGAAAGAGCCCTCATCAAATGAGGCACATAGAAGACACTGGTGGCTGAGCTCCAGCATGAAAGAGTCTTCAACAAATGAGGCATATTGAAGGCACAAGTGGCTGAACTCCAGCATGAAAGAGCCCTTCGGCAAATGAGGCACAGGTGGCTGAGCTCCAGCATGAAAGAGTCCTCAACAATTAAGGCACATTGAAGACACAGGTGGCTGAGCTCCAGCATGAGAGTCTTCAACCAATAAGGTGCATTAAAGGCGCAAGTGAGTGAGCTCCAGCATGAAAGAGCCCTCAACAAATAAGGCACATTGAAGACACAGGTGGCTGAGCTCCAGCATGAAAGAGTTCTCAACAAATGAGGCACATTGAAGGCACAGGAGGCTGAGTCCAAGCTTTAGAAAGCACCTGAGGTACAGGGTAATCACAGGCCAGCGTGTGACCCCCAGATTTTAAAGGGATCTCCAAAAACTGGAAGGATGCCGACGAAAGTAACCTAAGCTTGCAGCTTAGTCGATGCGGTGCCCAATCAGTAAGGTCTCCATTAACGATCATGACGCGATCATGAGAGTATTTTTGGAAGCATTTTACTCTGGGTTGAGCTAGATTTAACAGGAACTCAGAGCAGGATTGATGTCCAGTTGGTTTACATCTTATATCACTTATATCATCTTTGACCACCAAAAAGAAGGCGGAAGCTGCTGTTGAAGGCCCGACAGTGTTGACAAAACAAAAAAATATGAAATGTGTCTTTAGTTATTTCATATATATATTATATATCATATCTTGATTCAGTAATTAAGGAAATCCTTCATTTTGAATTAAATGTCCGAACTTGTTTTAATACTGGTATAGCAAATCGAATGACGTCAATTGTGGAATAAATCAAATATTTTCGTCCAAAAACGATTTGCTTTTTCGTTTTTGCTTACTTTGTTTGGAAGACAAAACGACAATAATGTCAACTGCGATCCATGAGCGTTAAGTATTTAACCTTTATATTCATAAATATAAAGGTTTTCAAAATTTGGTTGCCCTAACATTTCCTTACATGTCGAAAGGTTTGTTTTACGCGGAAAAAGAAGTTCGAATTTCATTTGAATGACGAGTTTGCTGCACGAACTGTGACAACGATGTATGACAAGTCGTGGTGTTGATAACAGCGCTTACACAGACCACCAACCTAGCTTGCCAAGCTACATGTTGTATACAGTGCATGGTCCTTTGGACATATTTGGCCGTGATTTTATCACTCTCACTTCCCCTCCTGTTGAACATTACAGTGCCCAGCTTTTGCTTTGTACCTCTAATGCTTCTAGCTTGCCAAGCTACAAGTTGTATACAGTGCATGGTCCTTTGGACATATTTGGACCGTGATTTTATCACTCTTCCTTCCCCTCCTGTTACACATTACAGTGCCCAGCTTTTGCTTTGTACCTCTAATGCTTCTCATTTGACCATCTACCCACCCCTTAACCTAATCCTACAAAATAACCAAATTTTTTCGCAAAAACGCCCAATAATTTCAATGTTGTTTTCAATGTTTGTTTTTTCATATTTCTCGTCACCTTTTACACTGAATTCCCATTTAATGTCAATGCTTCCCATTTTCCTCTTATGTAAATAGCCTTGTATTCACGAGAATTTCGAGAACATTCCATTTCCAATAACGAATTTTGGGCGTCTTACTAGGTATATGACATAACTATTAGTCGGCATATATATTTAACCAATAAATTTGTGGTATAGTAATAATACGTGCATTGACGCTCCGGTCCAACAACGAACTCGAATATGGTGCGCAAAATGCTGCTAATCCAATCAATGTTTGTATTGGGCGCCGTCATAGTCACGGTTAAGGAGTTTCTCAAAGTCATACAAGATTACTTTGAAAAACGTTCTATATTTTTCTTTATTTTTCTCTATTTTATCAAGAAAACAACATTGAATTGTTTGCTACCTTTACATCGTATTTATATATCATATCTTGCATTGATATTATATCTATTTATCTCAAGTTTTACTGATATCTTAGGCATGCATATTACTTAGTTTCTTAAAAATTACAGATATTTGATATTACTTAATACACAGATATATGTAATGCACTTTTGATCCGATATACTTATGTAAAAATACGTCGTATTATAAAGTGTTTTTTAAAGTATTTTTATAAGCGTGGGATACTCTAGTTCTCCTTGTTATACATAGATATATAGTTTACTAGTATGGGAATTATGGATGGCTTGCAACCCATTTCCCAAGATATTGAAAAGACATGGAGGCCATGTTGGTGGTATAAAGAAACAGCAGAGTTTGACAGTCGTGAGCGTGACGCCGATACATATATCTAAATCAATAACAGTCCGTTCAATGTTACACTTTACAGATCATTCCTCGAGTAGATGAGTCGATAACGTATCGGTTTAATCTAGCGTGCACGACAGAATGTTGAAAATATTACCGAGTTCTTTCTTTATTCATCTATATTCACGATAACCCTCGATTTCCAAGGTTTCTTGCTGCATGAAATTTAAGGGTTTTCATTATTGCTCCACGAAATGCGCTCCTTGGGATCTTGCCTTGGAGAATGTTTGTCAACGTAATCTAACTTCATTTCACGGTTGCAAACATTTTTGCCTAGTTTCTAGTTTCTCCGTTCCAAATCAGACGTGAAACTCAAAAAAGTCTACCGAAGATCGGTTAACAAGTTGAAAGTCGTAAAACTATAGTCTTACCTCGTCAGTCTTCACTTAAAAGAAACGTTCTCCGCCTATGCCACAACACTTAATGTCTATCTCCAAACACATACACGCACAATAATACTGGATGGACTAGATGCCCTTTTGAAGTTCAAGCTATGGGGACCGGTTTATGTAACTTGATTACTTCATGAGATCAGATTCTGCTAAGGAAGCACTTGAAAATTGTCGAGAGAAGTACTTGATTGAAGATTTTTGTTCCCATCGGTCCTTTGACGGCGTGTCAAGCCGCGGTACCCGAAAACAGAACCAAAACAGAAGTTTGTGCTACTCGGGGATAAGACAGATCACACAAACACTGCAGGCTACTCCAACTGACACAAATCACTGTGTTATTGCTTGAGGTTATTGAGAACAAAAAACAGGCAATTTAACTTTCGAAATATAGATGTTTATCAGTAGTTTAAATTTGGACGCTCATTAGTTATCGTAGAAGTCTTTCAACAGGCTTTTAAAACTTCACGAAAATAGCTGGCATTGATACTTGTACTAGATTTTGCYGCGAAGAGTTACGCGGATAAGATGTTGACCATCAGTACTATAGTATATTTAGTTGTTTTTTTTTTTTTCAATTGAATTGCTTAAAAACCTTAAAAAGCACTTGAATTGATGCTTCTGAAAAACTTGAAGTTTCAAATTAAGAATTACAGTGATGTTATTTTGTGGTCGACTTGCTAATGATGTTAAAGTTCATTTAATTATCTAYTGAATCGATCTTGTGTCGTTTGCAATTGCCACTGAATGCATGCTTAATAGGAAGTGATCCTTACAAAAAGAATACGAATGATTAATGATCAATGACAATTCTGTTTCAAAAACGAGACTGGTTGGAATCACTTGAAGAAGTCTTTTCTCGAACTTCAAGTGTGGGTCTTAACCGACCATCTTCTCGAATCGACTGCTTGCTTTACGGATGCACATTTCTCGCAATAAGTGGTACTTCAAGATTTACAACGTACGAAATAATCTCTTATATGTGGTTTGAATATCATATTTTGTTACCATTCTACTTAATGAAGCATAAATGCTTACTTGGATAAAGTAGAAAATGCTGTAAATAAAAACCTGCCGACTAAACCCCGGGTACCGACTGCCTGTCTACCCCGGGTACTGGCTGATCCTATCGTTTTGATCCTACACGAAGAGCGCAGCGTCTCCTTAACAAAAACATTTAAAGTTAGTTCTCGGTCGTGAGTAAAACATTTATTATTTTTTATCACATTAAACTAAACTAAACTAAATTAAACTAAACTAAACTACATGATTAAAAAGCCTTGTTCTTCATTGAGAAAGGAGTTTCAGATCACCAAATGGATGAAATGCCATGCATTTTGCCAGAAAAATAGACGATTTCACACTAAACTCATTGGGATGCTTATTCAAACTGTTGATTTTTAATTTCTTGGGTACTACGTATTACATAACAGTACTACATATGACTGGAGTACTTCAAAACGTTCAAGGGGCATGAAGACTGAGTTACCAACCAAAACAAAATCGTGATCAGCAAAGGATGTGAAATCGATTTGTTCAGTTGTCACGACTCTTATAACCAGAACAACGAAATACTTGGATAAAGAAATTAGTAACAAGCTGAGGCTTAAGTACCTGATAGAAGTGATGTTTAAAATAGAAACGATCAAGAACCAGGAAAAAAATCACTGACTTTGAATTTCCTTGTGATATTTGATGATAGGAAGAGCCTACCAGGTATTGCAGTTTCTGCTGAGTGGCTAAAATTATCTTACCAAGTAAGGCCTATGTATCCATTTGCCACAGCAAAAGCAAAAATTGGAAGAGTAGGCGGCCTTAGGCCTAATGGAAGCCTGAGGACTATAAATGGTATACAATTTAGCACTGCACTTAGACGTACCGTGGATATCTACTTTACTCGTATGAAATCCTTCTGACATGTTCTGAAAATCTTATGGAGTTTGACTGAGACGATCTCAGACACTGAAAATCAAGTAAGATTGATAAAGCATATTTAAGTTATGGGCAACAAAATTCGCAAGAGTACCTCGTAATATTGGAATCTGTTGTAAAAGGAAGGTCAAACAGACTTTAAAATCGTCCCAAATTTCATGTTGTTCAGTTCTCGCTAATTCAGTAAAAACTCATCTTGCACCTTATTTGACAGCGAGGTATTCACTGCAATACTTGCTATTGAGTCGAGGATCTTTACCCGTAAACCAATTATAGCCAATTTAATCCAATTTCGCTGGAGGGAATTAAGGTGTCCATAGAGTTGGGTTCAGTGGATATGCGGTCTGGTCCTTGATGAGGTTGTCTGCCAACTCGCCCGCGCATCTCGCAACTAAAACATGACCTTGAAATATATTTCAGTGCTACATCTTACACTCTCTAATTATACGACTTCAGTTTGCAATGTCGTGAAGAAGATTATTTTAAAAGTCTTGCCAATAGCTAGTAACGATTCTGTCAAACAAAACATACCTTATAGCCAATACTGAGCGATGAAATCATTCATCTTTTTCATTCTTCTACTTCGTTGCACACCACATTTTGACCCTCATATTGATTACTTAGCCAGTGAATTCACGATCCTAAGCAATATAAACAAGTATATTTCAATGTATTTGTCGATACACACTGTTTCTCTGCTAGGCCAATGCAACGACGACGAGTGGCTGATGCGATGATACTCGAGTTGTGGTTAATGTTTATAAACTGGGCGTGGTTTTGATTTCTGGTTTTGACGATACAGAGCCTCGCCGGCTCAATAGTCTTCTGCGCTTAGGCCGAGGTCACTGAATCTATTCGTTTTGAAGCCAGTGTAAACTTGATAATGCGTGGATAAGTTTAGACATCTGGGGATTTGGAAACCTTAATACCTTATCTACAACTTAGGCCTTTTGTGTTATGCCACTCCAAATACCTTGCATCACGAACAATTAACGATAGATCAGTCCAATTCGTTATGTTTTTCGCCGTGAATAAGATGTGTTTTTGTCAGTCAACGGGTAAGATATTCATTCCAGTTCACTGATATCAAGCTAGACTTTGACCCATCACTTACCACGAAATACGACGAAAAAACTCCAAACCTTAGCATATGGAAGTGGAACTGATGACAAACCTTTCCCACCCACCCCTTGTTAAATACCTTTGTGTTCGTCTTTAGCTTGCGACCAGCTATGCAGTATATATATCATTCTTAGCGTTACAAGTTAACACCTTGGTAAATTATGCTAGTAGTAGAGACTTAGTGGTGCATAAACCCAGTTATTCAATTATTTATTGTACAACTAGTATTGAAGTCCTTAGTATTGGCTCTAACACAGGCATAAAGGATGATAATGATGATGACAGCCGCCACAGCAGTATTCATGGACGCCGTTACCTTTTTGGGTTTCCTGTGGTTCAAGTCTATTTCCCCTAACCACCCCTCCCCAACAATGACTAGAAACTGGCTAAACTCAAACGGTTATACCTTGCATTTGATTCTTTGCGGAATGTGCTTATCTGACTAACATCACGCACTAAGGATCATCTAAGAAATCCTCAGTACTTTAACCGAGATAATGGCTTTTCGAATTCCTTAATTGATTGAGGAAGTACGTCCTCACAGTTTTTTTTTTTAAAAACTGGTTATTCCTCTCTTGTATATTCTTTTATTTTGATCATTAACTTTATCAGTTTTACAAAGAAAAAAATTATATGGATGGTTTAAATATTTTCGCGTGTTCCGTTTTCTTCAGTTTTTCTCTGTTGATCTGATTACAAACTGCTAACTGAGGCTGGCATTTTATCTCATTAATAGTTTAACTTCTCTTTAGATAAGTTAATAACATGCGTAATAGGTAAATCACACGCCTTGTATGAAACGACTGAAGAAGAGGGCCAATGGGCCTTTCACAACTTCAAGTCGCGTAAAAAATGAGCCAGCTCAACTAGAAACCGTGGACAGCTGTTTCGGCCTGTATTGGGCCTCGTCAGCACGGTTTATCTAGTGAGCTGGTAGATAAGTTATGGCTCTTCAAGGGCGGATTCAGGGGAGGGGCACAGGGGGTCCAGAGCCTCCCTTTACAATTCATTGCTTTCCCCCTTTTTTAACATACGATATATTACAAAGAATCTTTAAACTATGATATCGTAAACCTTTTTTATTCAAAGTCATGACGCTTTCTCCGTGACGACACTGATAGCGGCTACGAGGGAGGCTAAAATGACGTCAGTTATGGAGTGTAGGTTTTGAACCCCCCTTTCAAAAAAATTTTAGATCCGCTCTTGCTCTTATTGGTCTAGCAAGCAGTTGCAACACGTGCGCACGAGTATGTCTGTATGGAGCAAGGGCCTGGGTCCGAGTACGAGCTTTAAGGTATTTCCGGCTTCAGTGAACTCCAGATGAAATGCGTGTTAAGCGCAACCCGCGCCTTTTACACTCAATTTCAGCACACGCAACATTTAGACATTTGTCGGAAAAAAGAATGAAATCAAAGCAGCTTGTGCATTTGCCAAAATGCCCACCATACGACATTCGCTTCCTAAAATACTTTAACTGAAACTTAAAGATTTGTCGCGACCCAAAAAGGGATCTGTTTTTAATATGAGTAATTTTAGCGCGTAACATTCGAAGTTTTGTGAAGCTTGAAACATAAAACTTATAACAATTCTTACTCAAGAGAATGACGATCATTTATACCTCAAAAAATAAATTTGTCTTGCAACGCCTCACAAGATGTTTTTAAATCATTGCATGTTTGTTCAATTCTGAAATGCAGAATCAACGCTTCAATATACTTGACCGGTAAAGATTAGCCTGCTTCTTGGCGTCTGCCTGAACTTGAATCGTTTTTCCCAGACGTTCGCACACTTCGAAGGTCATTGCTTAATTCCTTTTAATATGTATCTTGCCGCGCTGTCTTTTTTTTTTTTTTTCATCTATTAGTGCTTCACCGTGTCGCAAAGTCAGTGAGACGTTTGGAAACCACAACAGCTATCTATATATTTCAAATACAACATCAGTTATGTAACGTTAACGAGCGCGGTTCCTTGAGGAATTACATTTTAGACAAATGATTTCAAAAGTGTTTGGATTTTTACAACCCGTTAACCGACATCTAATCAGATACTGAAAGTAGAAAGTAAGGATTGTATTCTYAGAAAGAGTTCAGTCAAAGTTAAGAAACTTCTCGAGACGCTGTCAAAAGACCTCATTCTGATCACTCCATCATACTTGAAACAAATACGACAGTTCTAGAGATATTTTAATCCCTTTCGAGTAGCTTTAGTAGTTCCGGATCTTGGCAAGTAGATTAGTCACTGCGCATGATTGCCAAAGGAGGTCGATTGATTGAAGTGGTTGAGTATTCTCTTTAKTCATCGGTGACGCTAGGAGAGTTCTTGTGGTCCTCTCAGTTGAGTAGAGCCTGTTGAAGAAGGTTAACATCATTCATTGTTCTAGTTTAATACTGAATTAATGTTATTTACCTCGAGTACTTTTGGCAAAAGAATATTGCTAATGATATGCCAACCTAGAACTTGAAAAAATAACTAGAATATAACTATGAAAACTACCATATTATTTTATAACAAAGGTTATCATAGAATGATTTTGAATAATTTCATAACGTATGGTTATAGTGTTTGTACTATAGTTCCTGAAAGTGGTTGTGAAAGTTACTGTGATTTACAACATTACATGAAGAAGAGTTTCCCTGTCGGCTAGTAACAAATGAAAAATATTCTTTACTTCCTTACTAGTTTATATGAGACTATTCTGATCGAAGGTCATCATATTTGGGGGTATGCCTCTTTCGTAACACTTCTCTAGTTAAGCCCTGGCTAAACGAGGAAATTTTTTTCCAGAAACATGGTTTGTTAATCATTTCGAAAGAAGGCGTCTAAACTGTCAGGAAACATCGAAAAACAAGTGTAATATTGATCCATGCGGTGCCCAAACTCGAAATATTTTAACCTGAGCATCAGGCCTTTAGGGTAACAGGGGGAGGGCTATTGGAAGAGCCTGATACTTAGGCTAGAAACGTTTCTGACCTTCTGAAGAAATATATTTTGCTTATATTCTCAGAAGGAAAATTTACCGCGCGTAGCAATGTTTCGCACGCTGTGGTGAAACATCGAGGAAATATGCGCGCGGTAAACGTTTGCTTGTTTAGCTAAAGCCCCTTTTACACTGGAGATTTTTGCGGCGATTCTTGCTGCGATTTTTGTGGCAATTTTCGGAAATATGAAATCTTTTGTCTCATCCTTCAAAAGAGACATTCGTGTAGGAAAATCTTGGTATCCTGAAAAAACTTTACAAGTAAATTCTTTACCATTATTTATTATGGACAAATTCTTAAAAAATTCGCAGCAAAAATCGCCGCAAAAATCGCTAGTGTAAACGGGGCTTAAGACACAGTGATAACTACAATTTCTAATCTATAAGACGGAAGTCGATGGAGGAGAGTACAAAATGGGTTTAAGATAGTAGGCGTGCGTTCTCATTTGTCATTGCCCAGCAAACATATTTGATCTTCTTATCTCAACCATGTGGGCGTCACTAATTGAGCGAGCATCAAGAATCGTTGATACGTAACGGTGCGATATTCTCACACCTATTCCTCTATTGTAGTGACTATATATATAAAGTTACCCCTCCCACACAGCATGAAGCAAGCGTGCCGCATTCGTGTAAACAACCAATTAATTCGGACAGCTTTATTACAAGATACTTATGAATGTAATTGAGCTAAGATAAACATATTTTTAGCAATGCTGCGTTAAGCTCCGTTTACACATATGGTTTACACTGGAAATTTTTGCGGCGATTTTTGGTGCGATTTTTGTGACAATTTTCGGAAATATGAAATCTTTCGTCTCATCCTTCAAAAGAGAGATTCGTCTAGGAAAATCTTGGTATCCTGAAAAAAAAACTTTACAAGCAAATTCTTTACCATTATTTATTATGGACCAAAATCGCAAAAAAAAAATCATTCCTTTCTTTTTTTCGAGTTTCGAAGCAATTATTTTAGCTCTGCGAGCTTAGCTTTAGAAAAGTAGAATAAAGATTGTAAAGTGTTTAGTCTTTTTTTACGACTTGGGTTTTGAAGAATTCTAAAACTTTTTAGATGAAGTAGTTTTTTTTCCTATTCGAGACTTTTGGCATAGAGTTTAATAGTTATCGCGAACTTTCAAACCTCTTTTCTTGCTACAAGAATCTTAGAGTTTCCAGTTGTCCAGTTGTCAAGCCGGTGTCGCGGCGGGATACTTTAATTAAGTTTAATTAAACGCTTAAACGCGGTAACGAAACAGAAGCATTGCCGTGGGAAAGCTTTTTATGCTGATTGTGCATTTATAAATCATTGTTCTCAAAAGAAAAGCTAGAATTTTTGACCCATTTTCCCCTGGATTTGACCGAGTTCCTGAAAAGCAATCACGTGCCATAGCACGCGCAAGATACACCTTTGTATGAATATTACATAGAACTCGTATAGAACTTCAAATTTTCTTTTTTAACTCTTAGAATTTTAAATAAGTTGTTAAGCTGTGGTGTTGTTAATTAGTTAGTCAACTAATGTTCTAGTTTTTCGGTGGGGTTAAAGTTTTTTTTGTTGACTCCTAGTTTGCTTATCTGGAAAGCGGTTCTTTCGGGAAGGATTTTGCAGGTTCTTTTGATTCACCTAATCAACAACATAAAAAATCTATTAAAAAAATAAGAAAATAAAAAAGCGTAGACATTTAACCCGGATTAAGCTCAAAGAACATGTTTATAATAACTCTGTAGTCGCTAAGTGTTCGTTTATCCTATTCTTATCCTTGTTAACTGTTAGCGTCCCCAAGAACAATGGCAGTTAATGCTCTGACTTGGACACTTTGCCGCGGGTTTTTGCCGCCGTTTTCTCCATTGTTTAACGGAAAGAAAAGGATTTATCACTTCATCGAAGTAGAACTCTTATCTTTTAAGACTTGAGTTTGCTTTTCACGATTTAACCGCCACATTTGTAAATATTTCTTCAACAAAAATTAATACAACAAGAAGATGGGTCAAAAAAGTGCCTGATCGACAACACCACATTGGCCACCACATTGAGTTCAATGCATCTTTGAAAAATACTTCAATACCTACTCTATCTTAAGTGCTAATAAACAGTTCAAAGCTGTCGAAGAATCCTTACAGAAAGCACCAGAAAAGCTTTCAAGCCTGTCTTCATTGAAGAGTTTAGACAAATACTTGCGATGCTCCGGGAAGCTCTCTTCAGGAATTTTCAGCACGCCATCACGTAATTGAAGTCTACACTTCATTTTACGAACTATTGATTTCACACTCATTCATTGTTTCGACTGTTTACAAGAAAAGCTTCGTTTCCCTGGGCTATTGTTCACTGTTTATATAAGCGATGAATACAAATTAACTTTTGGATTATAAATTTGAGTGGATTCTCGAGGCTCAATCACTCCAGCGTTGACACGATTACAGTAACATTCACAACGGCAGAATGACTCGAGTGGTATTCTTCGTGACCATATTTCTACTTTTTAGCTTCGCTACTTCACTCTCAGGCGCTAAATGGTAAGCTTAATACTTAATCTACTTAACAATTTTAGAATCCTCGCAATTCTCGCCGCTTTTAAACCGACAATCTCATACTTACACCGCTTTTTTTTTGCTTACTTTCAGGTCGGCGTTGAAAATCCTTCAAACAGGAAGAGAGGTTAGTACCGCTTGAGTTTTATTCCTAGTAATCCTGTAGTTAATGGCGGCTCTCTTCGATGGAATCTTTCTGAATTGGCTTTACAATCGATCGAAGAGTCTTTAGAAGTGTGGCATTCGCCTCTTTACTAATATCTTTCGAACTTGAGCAAGACGGATAATCCAAAACTTTGAGATTAATAGACTTTAATTCTCTAAGAAGATGACTTTTTATAACTCTTTCGTTAAAGACGTGTTTTCGAACCTTGTTTTACTTACTTAATCGTAGTTTGAGAGCTTTTATTTTTCCCTTCTTAAGTGTTTTCTTAATCAAAATTATCGAAGCGTTTATGGTTTGAATTTGAGATACATAGCAGGATTAAAATGTCGCTACAAAACTGCGTTGTTGTCAAAAACATGTATAAATAGCTGACCTCGTCCACCATAACTTTTTGTTGGAGTTCTTAGTTGTTTTTCGTCCATAATACTTACACTTGGACAAGCACCTGCGTTAAGGCTAACTTTTAAAAAACTAGAGCTATGACAAGTAAATCTAAATTTTGAAAGATAGGAATCTAAATGTTAATCGCAATTTTGCAGTTTTTTTCTCACTTTCTAAAATTTTTGAAAACTTTTTATCGTAATTCCATGATTTTCGCGAAACTTTACAATAATATTTTCGTAATTTCTGTTTTCGTTTTTTCTTTTTTAACCTCGTTCAGTAGTCTATCTAGTCATTTTAAGAGTAAAAGTCTCATCTCTAGCCCCAAAATTTGAAGATAACTCTTTCATTTGTCCTTCATTTATTTTAAGATCGACATGTAACAATAATTGAGATGTATTCCACCTAAAAAATTGGATTCATAATTCTAACTGTGGTTTTCTTTCTTCACTGCAGGCTTACGAGAAACTGACGGAAAGCGTGCGAGAGGGCGCCAAGTTGGGACTGACCGAGTGCAAGAAGCAGTTTAGTTACGAGAAGTGGAATTGTAGCATTACTTTCAGAAATAAACGTCTCGCTGACATGCCAATATTCATTCAGTCAAGCCTTCCATTGGGTAAGAAAAAATTACGATCACTTGTTTCATTGTCAATCTCACGCAATCTACTGATTTACGCGCAACATAAGTATTTTTATTATTAGATTATTACGATCTACGTATGGTCTACCATCGAAAATCTTTACGAAATGCCAGTTTGATAAAGTTGATAATGTTCTCTTGATTAARTTTTAAAACTTATTTCTTTTGGAAAATTTGTTTGGTTTCGCTTTGCTTGATTTTTCTCTACGAATAGCACACAATTCCGCAAATAATTTATCGTTAGCATGTCAAAAAGGAATGCTTTTCATTTGTATTTACTTACAATGAGTAATGTCGAGTATTTGCGTTACATTGAAATGCCGCCATCTTGAATTTTCGTGAATATAACTAGTTATGACGTAAGCTGTGCCGCCATTTTGAATTTTGGTTAATGATGAATCAAATTTTTTCATGTTTTTTAACTCTTCCATTAGTTACTGCGTTGAATTTGTTTATCACATAAAGTAGAAATATTGGATGATGTTTGTCACTATAAATGGATGATGTTTGTGATTGTTTTATTTCGCGATGACGTTTACACGCCGCCATTTTGGAAATCGAACGAAGCTAAATTAATCAGTTTTCAATTCCAATTTGTATTTTCTGAATTGAATTTTTGCTATCAATAAAATTACGTGGCGATTTAGAAGTTTTTTAAAGCTTGATTACACTATCGTTTGCTTATCTAAAGATTCTTTAACATATTTTCAATACACGAGACGTGACGCATAACTCCGCCATTTTGAATAAAAATTTTTGGCAGTGCTCAGAGTTAATGCTTTTCCTGATTGGTTTTCTGTTTATATTTTTCAGCCAATAAGGAAACAGCTTTCGTCCACAGCATCAGTGCCGCTGGTGTGACGTACAGACTGACTCAAGATTGCCGTCGAGGCAAGTTTGAAAACTGTGACTGTGTCCAATCCAAGAAAAAGTCCGCGAAAGAATGGGGAGGCTGCCATGACAACTTCAAGTTTGGTGATACCTTAGCTAAGCATTTCCTTGATGTCCTGGAAAAGAACAACAAGGCGAGAAGTGCGATGAACATTCATAATAATGAAGTAGGACGAAAGGTAAAAATAAAATTATTTTGCT